ATAACAGTTAGGTACGGTGGCACGGACGGTCACACACGCAAAAAACTGCAGCGTGTAGTCAATAAATCATCTCGGATTACTGGCACCCCATCCCATCAGCTGAATCACTGTACCACAAACGCACAATCAACATAGCAAAATTCCAGATGATGCCATCTAAGAGGCGCTATAGGTTCCTGACCTTAACACTTTTTTACCCACTGTAATAAAGACTCTTAATAAATCCTTCTCATTAACTCTGACAGAGGCACCTGGATTTAAAACTCCTGTATCAATCTTGTGAGTACTGTCTTTGAATACTGTCTGTTGTGCCAGTCATTGTGTCTTATGTGATATTGATATCTGCCTATGTTTGATGTTACAGACTCTGCTGAATTGAGATTACCCACCATGCTGCATTGACCTTGGCCATGACGTTATTAATAAATGACTGATTGAAGTTTCAACTGGGATGGGAATCGAGAACAAGTTCCAGCTGAGAACCGGTTCCAAATTGTCAAATCCATCGGTATTGTATGCCCCCAAGCTTATCAATTCCTTTTATCGATGCCGGTATGTATTTCTGACAGTTGCGCAGTGCAAATCAATGACATCAAATGCATAAGTGCAACAAGAAGGAGTCATGGTGAAGAAAAAAGCGTGGCTTTATTTATTATTTATATATATGTAAACTACAATGACTGTACTTTTCCAGACTGTGTTCAGAGTCTTTCCACACTAAAAAGTGATCAGGAATCAATAAGAGAATTGGCAATGACATTGGTATTATTAAAATCGTATCAATTCCCATCCCTAATCAAGTCCAAAGTCAATACACACAAGCGTTAAGTCTAGTGTTAAGTCAATTTACACATACCTTAAGTCAATCTACAAAAGTCTCAAAAGTTTCAAGTCAAGACTCAAGTCTCAAATCTCAAGTCCTCGACCAAAAAAGCCCAAGTTAAGTCACAGGTCTTCGTAACTTCAAGTCCATTGCAGGTCTTTTAGGTCCCAGCTTATTAACAAAAACACACAGCATGTGAATATCTTGCTTTTACAGCTGTGTTTATAGTGTTTTTGGAGTCAAGTCCAAGTTCAGCGTCATAGATAATTTTTCTGACCCAAGTCAGACTCAAGTCAAAGTCTCAAGTCTCAGGAGCATTGCTCAGATGACAACACAATCCTGTAGATTTCCAAACCAAATTGCCAAGTACTTTCACGTTCTTTGAATAGAGTTTGCAGATAATTCACCTTTTACTTCAAAAACAAAATTTTCAAAAACATTGGTGGGGGAAAAAAACCCAGAGGGAGAAAACATCCAACTGCTATAACTTCTCTGAGTTTGACTCTAGACTAAAAGGAGAAAAATGCCTTGTCATTAGTGTGAAATTTGCAACAGCGAGTCAGTGTGATGAGCGTCTCCAAGATGGGAAGTGAGGCAGATAAAAATAGAAAAGGATCATGCACACATACTGAGCTAAAGTGAGCACGAAGAAAGACACGATTCTTTGTTTCTGCCGAGGCCACAGTGGCAGAGAGAAGGTGGAGCAGGGAGGGTGAGAGTGTGTGTGGGTGTGTGTGTGTGTGTATGAGTTCCCTGTCTGGGAGGAAAGAGTTTTTGTGTGGAGAGACTGTCAATTTGTGTCTAGCGGTAAAAAGCCATAAAAAGACCATAAAAACATTTAAAGGCATACTAAATTGAGTCCTCTGGGCTTTCCTCCCGTCTTGAGTGTGTGTTTTTGTGTTTGTGAATACATCACAAGAAGCTTTTCTGAAGCCATCACTCAGAGTTGTTTGTTTCTAGCTAGACGAGTTTCTTATCTATAAATTGTATGCTTTATGAAATAACACAAACTGAACTGAACGTTTTTCCGGTTGTTTTAACGAACTAAAAACATACTTAATTCATACATTCATTCAGACATTACGGGGTATGCATGCGTTTGATGTGTATGAGGAGGTGTGTGTTTTACCTACCAGACTGTCCACACCGCCCAGTGTGTGATTGGCGTTGTACAGGGAGTAGGTCAACTGGTACACGCCGTCATTGGTCTCACTGTTGCCATAGAAACCCACACCCACTGCGACGCTGCAGAGAGAGGAGGCATGGAGGGACAGGTAAGCCTTTGTTAAATTAATGAGGAGCAGAGTACAACAGCAACGGGGCTTGGCTTGTAAATCCTGTATGTCTGAGGAGATGTCCTTTTCGGTCACTGAATACAAAGTTTGTCAGCTTCAAAGCCAATATTAGAACAGTCGCTGAATTAACGAATGGTTGCATAACAAGCTAAAAATAAGGATTTTCTTTGTTATAAAACCACTATGACATCTTGCGGCAGAGATGTACTACCTACAAGTAGTGTAGAGTGTGGCACGAGAGAAAACAACACCTACACAATATTTTATGAATATTTCATGCCTTATTTTTCACCCCGGCATTTGGGCATTATCATAAAGCAGTATCATCATTTTTTCCACCAACCTTGACTTTTGGATAAACAAGGGGGAAAAAGGTAACAAGGCAGTTTGGGGCAATCTCTGGAGACAGAGATTTTGTTTTTGTCCATTCAATAGTTAATTGTCATGGTAAACATAGTCACCCAGACAGAATGAATGACAGCGGATTGGAAAGGCAGAGTTGCCATGTGTGTCTTGGTGAAGCATCTTGGAGACTTCACAGCCAATTAAGGTTGTGGGAGGGATAAAATTAGACTCATTCAGAGTTTGTGCTTCTTCCTAAATTGTTTATGTGCCTCACATTCAACACCCATGTCCAACAGAAAGGCTAACTTGCCTTCTTAATTTACAATGTGATAAAATATTTTTTTAATGAAATATATAAAGCCACACAACTGAAACTGAAATTTGTGTGCATGGATATGTTTATGCAAACATCAGAACTGAATGGTTCGCTACAACAGGCAAAGCAAATATACTGTATCTATAGAGGTTAAAACAAACGGTTTGGGTTTCTGTGTTCATTTACGTAAACAACACTCATTGAACCAGAAATTATACAATACAGTGTTTTGGAATGTGTGTGCATAATTTGAAACCGCTTTTGCATATTCAGTCATCCAAGGGTTTCATTTGTTCAGCTGGAGCATCAGCACAAACAAAATAATCAGCACCATAAATGCACACTCTTAAGTAGTCTCTCTGACATTCTTTTTTTTTTCTCCAAAGTGCAGTGGCATTGTACTGACATATGATGAGATTTTGAAAACAGCTACAAAATTGTTGCACTGGAGAAGATCCTCTTGAAAAGACAATGATGTCCATGTTACATTAGGGACTCTAGCTAGGGTAAAGAACTGAAGGCCTGGTAAACAAATTAATAACAATTACCACAAATACCCTTTTATGATATAAAACATTCATGTAAATGAAGTAAATGACACAGCCAGTAAATGTGCTATAATGAGTAAGGCTTTTGGTTAAATTATCACACTGTCACACATTGCACTAAATTGATCCTAAAATGAGATGCAGTCAGGATCTGTTAGACTCAGCAGATGACATGGTTTAGCACCACCGCTGACATATTTCCTGGGGGAAACTCTTTACACACTGAGCCCCCAGTTTATCAAGTACACCACATCCAGTTCAATGCAATTCAACAAGGAAAACACAAAATAAAGTGTCTAAGTAAGGTGTTAAACAACCATGAGCCTCCTTGACCATTGGCAGAGATCCTCCAAGTGTCTGAAACTCTACTTGAGGGATGAACACCATTCTTCCAAAAAACACTGTCTCATTTGGGGTTTTCATGATGACATGTTGCACCAAAGCATTTTTTTGTAGCTGTAGTTTGTGAATCTTCTGAATTATCCTTCACTGGATTAAAATGTGCTTCTAATATTTTTTCTAAGCCCTTTCAATATGATGCAAAACAGTTCAACAGCAAACTATAGCCTCCAAAATGGACGCGCTCAGAGATGATCAGACATTGGACTCACAATAAGCTTTCATATTGCACGAGCGTTGATTACATTGTGCAGCTAGACACAGACTGACACAGAACTCGCTACATTATCTGATAATCAATGTCAGTTCATATAAAGCATGGAGGAGTAGTGCTCCCCAGCGTGGAGCAGATACAATATATGGTGATTTCACTTTGATTTATCATGGATCAATATTTTATAACCTCATTAATTCTACAAGGTTTTATGAGTGTGTGGTCTCCTCTTCACTTACAGTATCTACCAAACCATAAAACATCAATACAGCTTCCTCTGATCGCCACATCCACTTATAGCTATCTCACCATTTATTTCAACCTTGTGCCCCATTACCTTTGGCTAACCATTCACATTACTCTTGGCTTTTTAATAATTTATGCATTAATCTTTATCTTATTATTATTATATTTATCTAAATATTTAATTAGATAAATCCTCTACTTTTCGCTAAATATTTCAACAATTTATCCAAAACTTTAAGCTTACCATTCCCAATACTGTTTTATTTTTAGCTTTTAGCTAAAATAGCTGTATATATCCATTACTTAGCCAAATTTCAACAATTTATCCATTAGCTACTTTAAGCTATTACCATGTATCCATTACTTTTAGCTAATATATATAAGATTTAGCCATTACTTTAAGTATATAATATATAACTATTTTAAATGTGCATCTATTACTGTTAGCTAACAATTCCAACAGTTTATTCATTTCTTTTAGCGAACAATTTTAACTGTTTATCAATTACTTGACTATTGTAACTAGGTTATATAGGTTATACATTACTTTTAGCTAACAATTTCAACTGTTTATCAATTACTTGACTATTGTAACTAGGTTATATAGGTTATACATTACTTTAAGCTAACTGTTTGAGCTCCATTGGTTTTAGCTAACTATTTCAACTTAAAGCTAAGCTGTTTTTATACCAACTATTAAAATGGCTTGCTTGCTAACTAGGTCTCACGCACACTCAACACATATTGTTCAGGTAAAGCTGACTGAGTATGAGTATGTTTTTAAAATTCAGATTCAGATTTCTACCCCGCAATCTTTCCACAAACCCACCAAAGCAACGGCAGAAGTACCCATGGTTGGGAATCGCTGCTGTAAACCACCACTGTCCCATTACAAAACGTGCTCCAGATGAAGGAAAGAGGCAGGTCAGGTCAGTACCAAAGGGAAGGTAAGCAGGAGTCAGACTAATTGAGACCTACAGCAGTATCCTTAACCTTGTGGACTCTTCCCTGATGCTCCAGATAAGTGTTAAGCAGAAAAGAGAGACTATAAATCCACGGTCAATGGTGCTTCCTGCAGTGTTCAGCTGGAATTAGAAAGTCTGGCAGAGCTGTTGTAGCTGTGCAGCAGCGCGGTGGTCGAATCTGAGTGCAGGTGGAGCAGAACAACAGGGGCTATTTTCCTAATTAGTACAACAAGGACAGCCTCATTAACTGACCCCCTGCAGGTAAACCACCCACTCTGCAGGTTTTAACACAACCCTCATGGAAAAAATGGAAGAGGAGATACATTAAACACAGAGTAGATGTGAAAAAAAAGGTTTGGAGAGAGACAGGAAGTGACAGATACAGACCAAAAGAGACAGACTGACAGTGATACAAGCAGACAGTGTATACTGTATATAGGCAGACAGGAAGACAGACAACAACTGAGATGACACAAAAGCAGAGAGGAAGACAATGTGACAAACAGAGCAAGACAGAAAAAAGGCAAAAACAAATAAAAGAAGATTTGCCTTCCCACATTTAATAATAATCCACTGCTGATGACGCATATACTGGTACATTTAATTTGTTGGATGTATTTTCACTCCCACCAAGAAACATCACCTACAAAAGAAAACATACCACGGGAGTTGCTCTCCTTTCATCAGTGTAAACAGATCCTCTAATGCCACAGTCGCAGAAAATGGACTGAATAAAAGCAGGCGGTAAATACATTCTTTGAACCGTGCAAATAGTTTAAGGGTAGAAACTAATTAATATACAGAAACTGGGAGGACAGAAAGGGAGAATATCACTCTTTTCCCTCTTTCACTCTGTGTCCTTCCAGTTCCCTTTGTGCTGCTCCTTGAAATATCTGCGGTCTAATCCAAAGAGAAAGAATATCATAGATTTGAGTAGGCATGTAACGAGCAAAAGTCCAAACTGTCATCTTGATCAATGACAAAGTGGATAAAAGACATTGAGGGGAATTCAGAAAGGGAACCAAAAGCTTCAGCCTGAGGCAGAAAAATGCCCTTAGCCAGTATGAATACACTCAGACATGTTTGAATATTTGAGTTTCTGCCCAAAAATGGCAGCAATGACTCCTGCTGAGATGACAAATATAGAATTTTATATTTTACTCTGCCCCCCTGAAGTCTCAGCAAGGGCCACCAAAAATTCCCTTAATAGCAGGCCTATAATATAAAAACGGAAATAGCTTCTTTCTACATTTTTCATGCACACATCTCTGTTGTCAGAGCTAGAGAACTGGCCAATTTAAGGCCTGAGATGCAAAAGTTATAAACTGTCAGCTACTAAAAATAGATGACCCCAAAAAAGTGAATGAATACCACTGCTGGTATGCTTTCATTGCTGATACTGGAGGCATTGTATAGAAAAGCTTCTGGATCCAACGGAGGGAACTGATATCACGTAAACACACAGCTTATCCCTCCCTTTTCTTGTGTCCTCCATTCCGCTTTTTGATTGGCACCTATCACAATAAACAAACCCAAATAAATATTTAAAGTGCCCTGGAAAAGAGAATAACTTCTAAAACCATTTACATAAGCAGTGGAAACGCTGCTGTCATTGTGTCTTTACTTTGATTGGAGACTTGAGAATAATGACATGGTTTCATATTTCTTTCATTGAAAGTATTTTGAATTGTATTTATTTGCTGGCTTACATCTGTCTGTCAAAGAGAACAGAACAGATTGTAAGTTGTCGTTGACCTCAGGAATAAAATTAAAAAACACACAGAAACATAGAGATCCCTTACACAGTTTAATACCAAAAGGCATGTGAGATTGTCAGTGACGTGTCTTTTATGAATATTTAAAGTAACAGTAATGGAAGGGAGTTTGGTTTTTATTCTAGAGACCATGAGCCTTTGT